AGCGCGACGCCGCCAAGTCCCCGCGCCAGGTGCCGCCAGCCTGGGGCCCGGGGCACCGGCTTCAGACCCCGCCGTCGAGGAGACCGAGCCTCGAGGGAGGCCTGCGGCCATCCCCTCTCCTCCCACATGCCTGAGAAAGGGAGCCCTCCCCTGCAGCCCGGTCCTGGCCGACCCAGCCCGGGCAGGCTCTGTGGAAAGGGAGGAGGGGGTCGAGGCCCTGGGGTCTCTGTGGGGGGGGGGCCACAGACATGGGAGTCACCTGGGGGTAGTGCCTCCCGACCCAAGGCCACCCTCGGGTGTGACCACGACCCTGGGCTCCAACCTCAGCAGAGGGCTGAGCGCCACGCAGCCGGTGTCCCCACGCACACTGGCCCAGCACCCGTTTCGCAGAGACAGACCTCCTGTGGGAGGGGCGGCCCCCACGCCCGAGGCCCAGCAGCCCGCGACAGGTGGGCAGGTGAGGACACAGGAACAGTGGCGGGCGTGACTGGTACCGCCACCCATTCTGGGGGACCCCGCCCACGGCCACCACAGCCACGCAGGGCCCCGGTCAGCACGAGCTGGGCGGCCGGCGGACCTGGGCCCCACGGCCTGCAGCCCGAGACCCCACTCACCCATCCGCCACGCCTCCGCAGCCAGCTCGCCAGCGTCTTGTGCACGAACTCCCCGAGGCAGTCGACGAGAGCGGGCACCACAGCGGGCTGGGCCTGCCGCACACAGTCTACGGCCAGCCCCGCGGCCACCGAGTACAGGGACACCACTTTGCCCCACGTGACGCCTGCAGAGAGAGATGGGGGCGCTGCTCAGCGGGAGGCCGCCAAAACCCCAGCCCGAGCCCAGCCCACGGGCCCCACGCAGGGGCTGAGCCTCTCTGAGCCGCCCCCCGCCATGGCGCTGGCGGCCGGGGTCAGACTCGGGGGGCCAGCCCCACTCACGGCTGAAAGGGGTGCTCGGCCCACGTCCACTACGGGCCAGTCCTGCCCATGCTCACAGTGGTTCTTAGGCAGACATTTCTTGGGCCTCCATTACACACCTGCGCACCTGTGCACCTGCTCACCTGCACCAGAGCCTGGGCCGGCCCTGCCCAGCCCATCTGCTGGGGGTGACCACAGGACAGCAAGGTGGTTCAGCGAGGGGGAGCCTGAGGGCTTGGGGTGATGACTGACTTGGAGCGAGATGCAACAAACAGAAAGCAGCTTCAGGGAGCCCCGGCCCCAGCTGCCCCGCCCCTCAACAGCCCTGCTGCACGGTCTCCGCGTAGAGAAGCTGAGGCCCATGGAGGGACCATCCTTGGGCACCGGGCTGCTGAGAGGCGCCCCCCGCAGTGAGGGGACAGGAGCCCAGGCTGGAAAGGGCGCTGCACGCTGACGCTGTTTCCTTAACGTGCACAAGACCTTATAAATCAACGGGAGAAAAGACAGCCGTCCCCAAGGAAACTGTGGCCTCGTGACTGAGGGACGGCGCGGGGCCCTCGGCGGCGTCTGTGACGGGACACGCCCTGTCCCCCCAGCGACGGTGACGACCGGCCTCTGCACGGGCGTCCTCCCCGGAGAAATGTGCGCTCAGACCCTTCGCTCGTTTTTAAATTGGGTTGTCTTCTTAGTATTATTCTGAGACTTTTCATCTTTTATGTTTTCTGATCTTTCTGGGGTAAATGAACTCTTGGCAACTTTTATCCGGGGAGAGAAAATGAGTTTTCCACTGAAGCGAAGTGAGAAGCCCAACACGCTCGTACGGCAAGGAGCAGCCTCTGGCTTCAAAGGGGCTGGACACACACGAGGCCACCACGGAGCCAGGCCCTGCAGCTTTCCAGCCGCCACTGCCCTGGCCACAGCTGGAGGTAGCAGGCCTGGCAGGGCCTGCACCCCTCAGGGCCAGCTTGGGGAAGATGGGGAGGGAGGTCCAGCCTGAGGGTGAGTGTGCCCGGCCCAGCAGCACGGGAGGGGCTGCAGGCGGGAGGGACATGGGCTGGCAAGCACCCGATGGCTGGAATGCACCAGGGGTGACGGGGAGCCCATAGGCGGCAAGCAGGAGGGCACCTGCCAGGCCTGTCCCCCCATCTGACAAGGCGGGGTGGGGTGCTCTGTCCTGGCCCCCCTCTTCTGTCCCCGGCACACACACCCACACCACGCGGGGGCCAGGCCCCCACCTTCCTGCTCAGCCCCAACCACCCGCAGGCCAGAGCTGCCTTCTCAGAGATGAACCTTCCTTTTAAAGCCAGCCCTGGAGACAGACACAGGCGGCCACCCACGCACCAGCGTCAGCGCCGGACACAGGAGCCCGGGAAAGGCCAAGGACGGCCGTCAGCCCAGGGGCCCAAAGTGCCCTCCTTCCTTCACTGGCCCTACTTGCTGCCTCCTCCACAAGGTGCCCCCCAGGTCACCTGAGAGGGCTGCCCGCCAAGTCCCGCCCCAGGACCCCGGGCAGCACTATGCGGACAATGTGGAGAAGCCTGCTGCCCAGCAGCCCCCCGGGCCCCCTCCTGACGCCCCCCCGCAGTGACCTGCCCAGGATGGTCCGCGCTGACTGCTGGTGGCCCTGGGAGAGGTCAGATTCTGCAGCCAGTGGTCCTGCATCCCCATCTGCCCCTGTCCCCACCTGCCCCCCGTCCCACCTGTCCATCCCACGTTCCTGCTGCACCGGCCACACCGAGGGAGTCCCACGGGTCAGGCCCTGCTCGGCCCCGACCATCAGGCTGCCCCCTAGGAGGGAAGGCAACACAGGAGGTCGACATGCAGACACCCCAGAGGGTGGTCAGTGGGGCTGGGGGCTCAGCCTCCTCTGCGGGGGGTGGCGGGTCCCCCACGGGGCCTGGGCTGCTGCTCTTCCTCTTCCAGAGCCCGACTCTGCTGCCGTCCCAACCAGAAAGCCCCAGAAGGAAGGTGGCCCTCCCTACACTCAGATGCCACCGGCCACTCACGCTCCCCACACCAGGAGCGTGGGGCCTCTGGAGCACTGTGGCTCTGGGACCCTCAGGGTCCCCTCCCCGGACCGTGCTGGGGAAACGTCTGTGGGTGCGGTGACAGAGGATGTGGGGCTGCAGCTGGGGCTCTGGTCACCTGGACGGTGGAGCCTGCCACCTGCTACGCACCAGGGACACAGGGATGAGGCAGACTCACAGAGCGTGAGGGGCCAGAACCAGACGCGAAGCCTCAGGTGGGGAGAGGGTGTCTGTGGATAACAGCGAGCCCAGCAGGGTCTCAAGGAGGGGACGTGGGGACAGGAGGGCATTTTGGGGGTGAGTCCTGCAGCCTTCCCTGAGCCTGGAATGGGGCGTGCGGACAGGAAGCAGGGAAGCCGAACTCTCGGTGAGGGCCGGGGCCGGGGGAGCCAGCAGGAGCTGTCTCCTGCTCCTAGGGAGTCACAGGTGCGTGTGGGCCAGCCAGGTGAGACAAGTGTCGCTGTCCTCCAGACGCGCCAGCAAGCCCCTCCGCCCGGACCCCATCCCACGCACCCTTCTCGCGACTTGCCTTCGACTCACAGAATGCAGCAGTGACGCTGTGACTTCTAAGGCTGTCACAGAGCCTGGCAGCGCAGGGCGCTCCCTCTTGAGACCTGGTGCAGGGCCGAGCGCCAAGGGCCACGTGCAGGACACCCTGGCCCCACTCCAGCCAACAGCCAGCACCAACTGGCAGCTGACCACGCAGCCTGACCAGGAATTCAGGTCCCTGCCAACCCAGCTAGAGCCGAGAAGAACCACACGAGGTCCCGGGCTGGCGGCCCGCCAGGCCCACCATCCTCAGAACCAAGGGAGGCACCGCAGCCCTGGCACCAACCCACAGCCCTGGGCCACGCGCGCTGGACGCCCCGGGGTGCACGCGCAGGCCCACCTGCAGAGAAGATCTGGGCCGCCACAGCCAGGAAGGCACTGGTCACCGCGGTCTCGGAATGCGGGGACACGTTCAGCTGGCGGGCCACGTTACGGTAGAGGCTGGGCCGGATCAGCTCCAGCTCGTCGCCTGCACGGCCACGCGGGCGAGTCAGAGGCGGTCCACAGCGGCCTGACCCCGGCCCCACTGCCCACGGGCCTGGGACCAGCCCACTTCTCGGTCCCTCCGCCACTGACCTGGCCTGCACCTGAGCCCCACTCGACCCTCCTATGGCCCCCGGGAACAAGGAGGCCAGTGAGGTGGGGTGGGCACCCCCAGACCTGCCTCTGTGGCCCGCCCCTCCCGCTGAGCCAGCTCCCACCCCCCAGGGCCAAGCCGGCTGGGCCAGTGGGGCGGGAATCCCGGGGAGGAGCGTGGGCCATGCCTGACGGGTGACTCACGGCCACAGCGAGCTGCCCGGGCGGCAGGCGGGCTGGGCAGGCGGCCAGGGCCCGACATGGGCAGGGACTGCCCGCGCCCCACACAGATGGGCAGCCCAGCTGCAGCCTCAGACCTCAGGGGGCACCCTCCTCAGGCCCGGCACTGCCTGGGCCCCAAGCACGGGGACGGCGGCCACACCGCGGGCAGGGGGTCAGCACGGCCCTGCCTGCTGCGCGTGCTCCCTGCAGAGGCCCCGGCAGCGGGGGCCGGGAACGCCACAGCCCTCGGCTGGGTGTCCCCAGCCCAGCCTCTCCTCCAGCCGCAGCGCACAGGGAGGTGCCCACTGTACGGTCCTGGCCGACAAGGGCGCCCGCGTCATCCCCGGGCCAGCTGCTCTCCATCCGATTAATTAAGGTCTGGGGCCAGAGCAGGCCCGAGGCTGGGCGGCGGGGCGATGTGGGGAGGTGGTGTGGAAATCCCCAGGGCTGGCTGGCCTGCTCCCACACAGGCCTCGGGGGCTGCTGGGGACGGGCCCCGGGGGGCTGACCGCCATGGGGCCACGACCCGGCCTCTTCCTGTTTCCCACTGCCCCAGGAGGAGGGGCCAGGAGGCAGCGCCGGGCCCGAGAGCGGAAGGCAGTGCATGAGCCACGAATGCAACACCCCTGGGTCCAAGCCACTTCCCCCCTGGGCCCCCTGAGCCATCCCGCAGGGGTTATGTTATGCCCCAGGGACTGGACATGGCCAGGATGGACTTGGAAAGGGCCTCTGAGAGGGCCACTGCTGGGCACATGGCTCGCTCCTGCTACCGGGGCCTGCAGCGTTGGGCCCTCAGGGTGGACCACGAGACTGAGGGACAGAAGCTGCCCGGTCACATCAGCAGAGTCTGAAGCAAGGCTTTTCAGACAAACTTAAACAATGGGGACACGGGGAAGAGGTGGTCTCAAGCTCCGGCTCACAGACGAGACGGAGGCTGCGGACGGAGGCAGGACTCTCTCCTCGCCACTCCAGGGGGGTGGGGGGCTCTTGGGGGGGGCCAAGGAACTATCTTCTCCAGGATCCTCTAGAAGTCGGCCCCCAGGGTCATCCCCACCACCCAGCTGGAAGAAACAGCAGCGGGCGACCACGCGGAGTCCGGGCACTCCGGGGTCCTGGCCCACTCCGGGGTCCTGGCCCACGCAGCGCCGCTTGCTTCCACACCTAGAGACCTGTCCATCCCGGGGGGCGAGGGGACCCACTGACTGCGGCGAGGGGTCCAGACCTTGGAGAAGGCGGAGGCAGTTCCTGGGCGGTGTGGAACAAGCACCCCTAGGGGGCCAGCTCCACAGGTGGGGCTTTGGTTTCACCCGTCTTGGGCACCCAACTCCGGAGGGGCCCTAGGAGGCCTCCAAACCAAGAGGAAGGAGGGGCGGGGGGCAGACTTCAGCCGGTGGCTGAAGGGACCTCTTTTCCAAAACAAACATCAGGACACGTGGTCTGACAAAGGATTTTCGTGCCCAGCAGAGTATAAGGGTCACGCTGGAAGTTTAGCCACCAAAACATTATTCTTCCCGGAGCTTTCTATCCTTGATGGCCAGAGTGTCTGCGATCTGGCTGAGCAGGCCAATCTGGGCAGGTCTGTGGGGGGTCCATGGCAGTGTGCCGAGCCTGAGCGGGTAAGTACAGGATGTAGGGGAGCGGGGCAGCATCCGCCTGGGTGGGCCTGCCCTGCGCGCCTGGCTATTCTGGGCACCCCCAGGCCAGCCGCCTCTCTGCCCCTGAGACCCAGGCCCAGCAGTGGAGGGTGTTGGCCAGGGCACCCCGTGGGTGGCCCAGTGCGGAGACAGCGGCACCCCGAGGCGCAGCCTGGGGGCCCCGTCCTCCAGGGCCCGCACTCACCCAGGCGCAGCAGCACCGCGCACACCTCTGCCAGGCGGCCGCCCGGGGTG